GATTCCTTTACGAAGGGTTCTTTCCCTAAAGTTTAGGGAAACCGGAAAAGGGGTTTAGGTAATTACAAACCCTTTCGGTCCAACTATATATATATATAGATAGATAGGCAGATATATATGTCTTACATGTGTGTGTGTGTACATGTGAACGCGTGTAGATTCAAGTATGTGAGTATGATCACGTATAGATAAATGTATGTGTGTGTGTGTGTTGTACGTGTTGTATGTGTTGTGTGTCTGCGTGCGTGCATGGAAGAAACCAATACTCTTGTGGTGCACATCACGTACCGCGATGTTCTCAGCATAGGCCACGAACTGCTTGAGCGTCTCTGGGCGTTTGACCTTGCCCCTACTTAGTTCATTTTTAACCAAGGACGACTCCCTCCTGGCCGCAGGCTTGGCATTCGCATCACTTGACTGTGCCTTGCCCGTGCCATTGGAGCCAGCACTTTGTTTGTCCTTCTGTGTCTGTTGTGAACGTTCTTCGTGCTCGTGCTCGTCGGAGTCAGAATGCCCCACAAGCCGTTGTTGCGGCTCTTGCCAGCTGTCGAACCTGCCATTCGTATCCGATGGCGAGTGCGCATTGTCAGACATGTTTCGGTGATTCGAACTCCTGCTACCGCTGTTTGTGTGCATACCAGCGTTGTTCCTATGGCCCCGGTTGTTATCATTCCCATTGCCACTGTTCATGTCGGCGTGTGAGCCACCCATCGACATATCCGCCTGCGAATATTGCGAATTGGAGTTGACCTGTGACATGCGGGATGTGATCTGCGACTGTCGACGTTGCCCCGTAGAATGATCTGAACTCATCCTCGCCATCACATTCGCAGCCAATTCGTGTGCGCTGATGGTGTCGTTGTTTGGGTTGCCAAAGCTGCTGTCATTCATGCTATGGCTGTTTTTCATATCATTGCTGTGATACATGCTATTACTATTGTTGCTGCCCATGTTAGGATCGTTGTCGTTGTAGTCGCCATCACCCTGGTTGTTACCGCTTAAGGAATACCGCTGAAACCGGTTATTCCTACTACCGCCATAGTTATCATTGTCGTTGCTGTAGGCCCTACTTCTGTTGCCCACATTGTTATAGCTACCGTTGCCCATACCTATATCATTAGAATCAGCACTGTATCGGTCAGACTGTCCATTGCCATGCGTATCCCACCCATCATTCGTGTTGTTGTGCCCACTGCCGCGTACATTCATCGCAGCTGGAGGCAAAGGTACACTCCGGGTCAACGAATTAGGCGTTGCAAAGGTGCTATTCGTAGTGCTGTCTCCATTGTTTCGCTGGCTTTGTGCCTGGGAGAACTGGTTGAAGCTGCCGCTGTGCTGTGATTGGTGATATGAATCATCGCGTGAAAGCGGATTGTGGATGATACGCCTGTTGTTGCCATTGTTATTTATGCCCGAGCTGTCGCTGTTGTCATTCATGTTCATGTTTACGTTGATGCTATTGTTGCTGTTGGTGTTGGTGGTGTTGGACAACATGTTCATATTGCTCATACTATTACTGGCGTACAAGTCGTTGTCGTGCGTACCACTGTCAATATCGCTCGCGTCGTTTCGGTTGTAGTTGTTGTTATTGCCACTGTGATTACTTCGGAAGATATTGTGACCGAAATTATCGGCCCCAATGCGTCTGTTATTGTTTGTGTTACTGTTGCTGTTGAATGAGCTACTATCGCTATTGCTGTGAAAGCCAGCGATGCTGCTGTTATTCCCGCGGCCACCACTCAGAGTAGACGGCACGCTCGAATTTACACCCAGATGTGAGATATGATGGCTCAGACTATCCGTGCTGTTCATCACGTGCAGTTTCTGCTGCTGCTCTCTCTCCTGTAGGATATTCGCCATGGAGCCCTTGGTACTAGCATGAAGGGAGGGGCTGTCATGGACAGAGTGTGTGATACTGACAGAGCTGTTGCCTTTGTCTGAGAGGTTAAGGCCGTTGTTGAGAGAACGTGGGCCGCCGACTGGCGCAACCGGCATGCGTGGTACAGCAGCAGAATACAACGTGTCCATAGCAGACTTTCCACTGACGCTTACGGCACTGTCCAGCGACTGCTGTGGGAACGTACGTGGGCTCGAGTTCTTATTGCCCATGTTAAGGTTCTTGCCACCGAATCTGCGTGTGCTTGAGGAACGCCCAGGCGCCTGGGTGACCGACATAGTCACGTGCCCTGGCAGATCTACACTCATAGTCACATTCCCAGAATTGTCGCGGGTCATGTTCCCATTCGTCACGTGCTGTTTAGGGTCTATGGCATACGAGAACAAGTCCTGGATAGAGTTGGCTACGCTCCGGGAGGGTTCTAATAAACTCACACTCGCGCGCTTGGCCTCTGAGTCCATTTGCTCGCCTGCTATACCGGACATCGTGTACGAACGCTTGGCACCGGCATTGGTTGTCTCCATGGCAACCACACCACGTGCCTCTCCCTCGATGCTGAAATCATCGTCATGACCCAATAAGGCAGAGTGATGGACTATGGGTCCTTTTTCCCGTCTATGGCCGATGTTTTGGTCGAACAGAGGAAAGTTCGGGGCGGTTAGAGTGTTGACATCTTCATCCTCCGTGGTGTCGAAAAGGAAGGTCTCGATTGAAGCTATCGAATTCTTGATCCCTTTAGGCTGTGCGGGGTGAACGAGAGTTGTATATCATGAGCAGGACTGAATACGAAGGAGCCAGGGGGAAACATATGTTAGTTTACGGTGCACACGTTGTGCGTATCTTGTTTACAGAAGTGCCGGTCTGTGGTGACTGATGCACTCGAAGAAAAAAGGTTTCGAAAATGCACATTCTTGGTGAGTCCTGGCATTTGCTTTTAGGGATTTTAAACCCCTAAAACCCTAAAAGGTAACCTTCGATTCCAAGTAATTTGGTCGAGGCATGCGAATGTCTCGAGGACACACAACTAGCTTGTATACCTTTGGCTTCGGATCGGCTATTAGCTTCCACCATTGCATTAGGGCTCTGACAATATCCTTCTGCTGGTTGATGCGTTGTTTGGTGGAGGTGATATCGCTTTTCACACAGCACACAATTCTGCTCTTCGGGGGCATCTTGATATCCAATCCTGTCACACTAAACACGTGCGTGCCGTTGATAAGAAAGTAGTACGCGTGCAGCCACTTGAAGGTGCCGTCTGCCATGATTTGCACTTCGTCATCTTCCAGGTACCCACCTTCTCGGAGTACAGAGGCCTCTGATTCTGTGACCGGCTGCAAAGGTTGACATACAAGAATGGTCAATTAGACTGTCGGCAAACCTAAGCATACCTATGTGCACTTGTGTGCTGGATACTTCTAATTAGACGTGTAAAGTGGGTGATATCGCAAACCAGGGGATATTTTCTAAAAGCAGAAATATATGATATTTTCTTAGACAATGGTTACGTTATTATCCCAAAAGATATACGAACGATAAGGTACGAAAAAACACTTTCTGGGTGACACCATGTTACGACCCCAACGAAACAACCAATCGTGTGCGAATCTATAGTCAAATACACAAAAAAAATATATAAAGCTAACACCCGTGCCTTCTACACCAAGCTAAATGCATACCGGGTCGGTGTCTTTCTTTGAGATGAGATCTTCGAAGGTCTTCCAACCTTTACTTTTGCACAGAACTCTACCACTCTCGTCCTTCAAGTACAGCATGTGGTCACTCCGAAGCACCGTGCCTCTTCCAAACATGCTCCTGGATATACAGGATGATTAATGATGAACGAGTAGATGAATTTGGACACATCTAACAATTTATAAGAGCGGATAGTATCGACGTATGCATACAATCGCGGCTACTGGCACCTATATCGGTATATGTCATGTGCTTAACTGATATTCATGATAACAGCACAAACACTCGAGTCGAGAACGGTGACGCGGAGGGGTGCATGGATGGTATAGGTTAAGGCTGAACAGAGTTTTTAACTTCTATGCAATAAATGTAGGAGGAAAAAAATACAACCATATAGGTGCACAAACGCAAATAAATATAGAATACTGTATAATTCAGCTAGATGAGGTATCATGATAGATCTGTATCTGACGAAACAATAATTTAGAAACGGAAACCAATAAAAAAACAAAATAAATATGAACAAACGCACGGTCTAATCTAATGGGCACAAGCTACAAACATGTAGACAAGGATATATAAATCTATATAGATGTAGATATATATATAGATGTAGATGTAGTTGAACACATAAACATTGAAACAGTGCATATAAATAAATTACACGTATTTGTATATATAAGAATACATAAATATACGTGAATATTATATATATATATATATATATATA